CCCCGCGCCCTTTCTTAACAAATCTCTTGATACGGGACCTTTTGCTTTGTTTTGTTTTGTTTTGTTTTTCCCAAATACTCAATTTCATCAGCTGGTAACTGGTGGCTTTGATACGCGCTACTAGACTGGGCACTGCTGAGCATGTTATTGCGCTCGTAGTCTCTCTTAGCGCATCTTAATTGCTCGAAGTCTATTCAAGCGTCTAATTCTTGTTGTAAAGAACGCTGCAAGTTAAAACGAGATTTTGAAATCCAGGGTTTTTCAGTCAACCTTCCCTTCCCTTGTTAGAGGATGTTTTTTACTCATTTTCCTCTGTAAAAGTCTTGCACGTTGTTTTTCACTTTCGGACAACTCTTCCTAAAACTTAAACCTGCTCCTGTCAAAACTTAAGGTAGCTAAATGCCGTAGAACCAATGAAAATGTGCATTCAGTGGAAGGGTTTACTTTCTTAAAACACACATAAAACCTCATACTAGCCAGGGAATCTTGTCGCTATCTGGAAGTAACAAAAGTAGGTTTGCTAGGTGCTGTTCACTACCGTTTCAGAGACGGATGGTCAGTTTTGGTGAATTCACTGAATTTCCTGAGACTTTTGGCTTTCATCATGTAACCTGGAAAAACTACAATTAATTCTCCGTAAGTAAGCTGTCTAGAGCAGTCCACATACCATTACATAGTTTAAAAGCATCACATTTAATTCCAAGTAGCAGGCAGTCCGTATATATTTTGAAAATACCTTGTTTTCCTTAATGAAAATAAGACCTTTAAAAGTGGTGTTGGTGAGCCTGGCAGAACTGCTGTAATTTATCTGATTTTATACTATTCCAAGAACATAATCAGTCACAACAGTTGCATTTTTTTCCAGAGAGGTTTCAGAATACAAACTTTTCCCTGTTATGCACATGAGGGTTCTGCAGAGAGTCATGAACAAGCATAGGAGCGATTTTTCCATCAGTGAACACCGAAATGAGGTTTCATTCCACTAGTTGCTGAATCTCTGGTGCTGCTAGGACACAGGTACAATCACAATGATTTCATACAGTTTAATGTTACTTTTTTTTTCTTCCTGAAGGGCTTCTTGATCGCCTAGCCGTTGCGGTCGGTGGAAAGGAAGCTATGTTGGAAGGCACAGTAATTTGCAAAAATGTCTTCTATGCTGCAAGGTCTGACTCCTGCCAAACGTACCTGAGCTGTGCAGAACTCTACTTTGGCTTCTTCTGCATGAAAACTCATGGTCTTCTCTTTATTTCTAGTTAAGGAAATTTCTTTGCAAATTATCGTTACACATACACTCTGATGTTCCTGACTCTCTCTGAGGAGTATGAGTGAATCAAAATGTAATCCCGGTCAGATCGCTGCCCCCTCTCAGGAGAGAGAGTACTAGATCACATGTTTCATTAAAATGGTGTAAGACAAGCGTGGATGAAACTCAGTTGTTTGAGAACTGGATGGGATACAAAGAAAAAAGTTGAAAGCGCTGTTCTGCTTGTGACAAAGAGTGCTCTGAAACTATGATCTTAGAATATAAAGTAGTTTTGAAAGGGAGCAGCGTGTGCTGTAGCAATGCGGCTGGAGCTTTCACTGAAGGGTAAATTTAAGGGCACTTTCCCTGAGGGCTGCTGACACATGACATTGTCAAGATGTTCTACTACGATTACATTTGCAACACGCCACCACCGCTCCACTGCAGGGCAAATGCAGAAATCTTCTATTGCAGCTATCTGAGTCAGCCTCAGGTGGTGACATCTCTTCTGTAATTGCTTTGCAAGCCTCCACCTTAACAACATCTGTTACTGATCACATATTTTGTATTTGTAATCTAAAAGGCAGAATAATTCTGTTTTGCCTCCATCGACATAGCTTATCGTCCTATAAGGAGGGAACTGGTTCATCTGCCCGTCAGAATGATTCCTGAGTGTTTCACTAATTCCTAGCAGTAAGCTTTGAGGAAGATCCACTGGTAATTTGGAGGTAGAAGAAAGGCTGAGATCTGATCTGGCAAAGCTTGCTGGCATTGAACATTCATGAAAATTAATGCTGACAATTTCAAAGTTAACTGATGAGTTTGTGTATTATGTTACACAGCTTCTGAATATGCAAAATCCCCAGACAAATCCCAAACCACTAATAGTAATTGTGAAATATGATAATTTTGGTTTATTCTTGAAAACATGTTTGTGAAAGAAAATAGGAAATAAACACGACACAATCTTTTCCTTGCTGCTTTGCTTTTCCTGTGCCTGTTTGTGAACATTACAGACAAACTGCTTGGTTGATAGCTTTCTTAGAACAAAGAAAAATTGCATTACAATTTTGTTTAGCATTTTCTGTTTCCAGTAAGCAAATTTCAAAAGCTAAACAGGCTGGACCATAGTTATAGTCTATCTCTAATATTCCATTTCTGCCAGTAGGAGGTGCTTCAAGAAAGGGCACATATGGAGGGATTCTTCTTGAAACCAGAAACACGTTTAGTTTCTTATTTTGTCTAGCAAGGTCTACAACTTAGCAATATGTTTCTTAAGAAAATGCTGCTTCTGGTTTGTTTTCGGTACGCTACCTGTTAATTTCAACCTATATCTGGTTTTATGAAGAATCACGAATAATCGTTCCGTGTTAGTTCTCTTCATAACATTCATGACGATAAACACGTCTGCCGTATTATCCTCGTTTATCTTTTATTCAAGCTGGTAAGCTAAATACTTATTCAAGCTGAAACTTTTTGTCACGTTGAAGCACACCTTAGCATTGTGCCCCAATCCACGTCACCCGTGCCACATCCTGGTGCACAGCATGGAAAGACGTGAAGACACACCATTCCTCTGGACAGGGACTGAGGTGCGTGGGAAGGGAGGGAGCCCTGGTGTGCTCCAGGAGGACCTCTGCACTGGACAATGGAGAACTAGGCGATTAAGTTAAAACAGCGTACCTAACTTGTAGCGTATGTACAGCCACAGATGCCCTTTCCTGTACCTTTTGTATTCTACAACATCCTTTCTGGAGCTTGGTGGCAGGTATTCCAGCTGTGGGCACGCTATGAACTTGGGCACCATAAATCTGAAGATGATTTCTTCCTGGTTCCTTCCCTGATGATTCCTAACATCTGATTTGTCATTTTTATTACTACTAAGTACTGAACTGATGTTTTCAGGAAATTATTCATAAATGACTCCCAAGATGACTCCCCTGAGTGACGATCACTAATTTAGAGCCCATCACTGTATATATATAATTGAGGTTATATTTCCCCCATATGTGTTACTGCATACTGCATACTGACATTGCCGTTTCATCACCAGTTTAGTATAGCGAGAGCCTGGAAAACACACAGCTGCAGCTCTTCCCAGTTGGCTTTTAGATTTGCCTTTAACAATAATTCAGCAAACACTAATACCTCCCTGCTCATCCCCTTTCTCAGAATACTTATAAATTCATCAAATTGCACAGACATCTTGCCAGAACCTCCCTCTACTGTGAAAATTGACCATTTATTCCTACCATTTGTCTCCTGTCTTTTAATAAGATGTTAATATGGGCAAGTCTTTGCTCTTGTTTTGTGGCAGATGGTTTTTAAGAGAGCTTTTTGTGAAAGACTTTGTCAAAAAAATTTGAAACTGTAAGCACATGTATTATTTGTATCCACATGCTTATTAATTCCTTACCAGATTTCTAGAATGTTTTTGAGACATCTTGACCATTTCCCAATTTCTCATATTTATTCTCATGTTTCTCCATGTGTCCACTAACTCTAGTCTCTGTAAAACTTTCTAGCAATTTACTCAGCCCATAGGTGAGTAAATACATACTAGTCAATATATACTAGTATATAGTGCCCAGGATCCTATTGATCCCTTTGTGAAAATTGGTATCACATTCCTTTGGCATTGAGACTAATACATACATCACATTTGGACTGGTACTACAAAGCTCCTCACCCACAAAAGGTACAGATTTAGATTTTAAATACCCCAGTAAGCAATGAGAGAATTTAAAAGTTTTGTTCCTGATCCATCTTTAACACAAATCACGCTAGATGTCTGCTGTCAGCCATGCTTCCAGCTACCTCAAAATATAATTTTTTTAGTAGCTAGAACTAACCAAGTAAACTGGAATCAAAATCACAGACTTTGTAAATCACAGACATTATAAATCAAGGCTGGATGCTTCCTTAAAAGAAA